TTCTTACTGTATTCATTACATGGAAACACATTTTGATGTTTCATACTAGATATTTTTCCGGTCTCTACGTATAAGATAATATGTAGTGAGATAATCTGTGAGGTGTTAGCCCCTAGAAAAGCAACGCTCGAAACACGCCCAGGGAACCATTTTTTATGGTTACCAGTTCTCTTCTCAATGCACAGTCGGGTGGATTCGGAATTATTATTATTATTATTATTATTATTATTATTATTATTATTATTATTATTATTAATTTTAGTTTTAGTTTATGTAGTCTTAGGTTGTTGTAGTCCATGCACAACATTAGAATGTAAATAAGTTATCCTTAGGAATTAATCAGTATTACAAAACACAGTACGAATGCTTGTTGGAGTGTTCCTTCATTTAAATGCAGATCGTCGCGCACCTGTTAGTTCCTGAAGAATAATTGGGCTATTGAAATTTGTCTGATGTATTTATTTTGAAATATTTGCATTTTATTGATGGTTTTTGCGGCATTGGTCTACACGAGCCTTGCTGTGTACACGAGCATACAGCGTGGCATATGTCGAATGAGTGATATTGAATAGGTTGCAGTTGAAATAACTTGGTTTTGGCTTGTGTTTTTATTTGTATGTGTTAATTCCAATGGAGAAATAAAATAAGACCTCTTTGGACTCTATTATGTTTTTGGATGGTTTCGTCAACTCTACGCACGTATTACCGAAAACGCTGGATGTTGGATTTGATTGTGAAGTTTTTTGCACTTTTAAAACAATGATTTAGGAACATCTGATGAAGATGTGGGAAACATTAAGGATAATATGTAGTGGAACATGTGGTGATATTCAAGGAAACAAACCACTCTTTTCTTATGAATGGTGTATCCCACATGTCGCAATGTATTCCTGCCCTATCACAATCTAAACACGATACTTAAATTTCTGAAAAAGCAGATTCATCGAATTACTAGAAATATTGTTTAATCTCCTTCAAATATATGGTACAGAACCTCAGAAAAGGTTTCAATAATGTGACAAGTCTAGGTATAATAAAGAAATCTTCAAAACCAACTATTAACTTACCTCCTTGTTAATTCATAAAACTAATAACTAAGGAAAATTACTTTGCGCATTTATCAAATTGAGCATGCCGGCTTTTCGCAGGACGTCGCATTTCTGCTTTTCGCTGTCGGTGTTGGCGTGAGGTATAGTCCGCAACACGAGTAACGATGTTCGTTTTGATTGCGCTCTGGTCTTGTGGAGAGTCATAAATCTCCGGCACTTATTGTTCGATTGACTAATGGCTTTCCTCGCATTGCAAGGGGTATTCGCTTGAAGGATGGCGTAGATGGTTTCTCCGAGACATCTATTGTCTCTACTCTCAAATTACCTAGATCCAATAATACACTGTAGAAGCTTCTGTACCACAATCAAAATATTTTATTCCCTCACAACTCTTCTAATCATTATAACAGTTAAATAATACGTACAAATATATTTAATAATGCATATAACAATATATTTTTGTGTCCTTGTAAAAAAGAAATTGTACCAAAAAACTACCGTTACCAATACAACATGCACTTTCTCTGTTTAGGAAAATTATTAACCTTTTTAAAAAAAATCATAATAAATAAGAACAAAAAATTATAACCGAATGGTACCTTTAAGACAACCTTGAAACGTTCTTAAGCTCTGAAATAATTGTAAGAAAAGAAAAGGCAAGAATGACATATCTACACCAAAAGTTGTTTTCCTGTAGATGTATTATATTGTAATGGACCACATAGTCGCAATTATTGGTGTAATGCACCGCTGTGAGTCACTCTATCATAGAGGGGGGGTTGCCACCACACTTAAGGTGCGATGGTCGTTTCCAGACACCAGGATAGATGCGCTGAATTTATTTAGGAGGGCGCCAAGCGTATGCCTTACCTGTGATCTGGGTATCGGCTTTGAGACATCATTAGGGGTGGACACCCTGGGTCGAAGGATTACATTTGCTTAATGTTTATAAATAATACACTTTTTTGTTACCAAAATGACGGGAACGCGTTTATTGTTATATAAAATTGTCTATTTTATATTACTGTTCCTTCTAGTGATTTACCCTGCTTATTAAATGGGTATGAACACTTACAGAAAATGGTGACAGAAATTCTGCTCCTTCACTCCGAAAGGATTACATGTCCAAATATCGGCCGGCGGCAGCCGATGACCGGTTGACGTACCATGGAAGTTTCCTGTGGTCGGCAGGAACACGTCTGGCTGAGCTGGAGATCGTCCATGGTCGTCCGCGGAAATGAAGCGTCAGTTTTTTTTTGTAACGCAGGTCTCAGGTCGTCATTCGTCGCCTGGATCGCGTATTATCATTTGCAGCCCAATAATTGTGCCGCACACCCTCTCATAAAATTTATGGGTGTTACCCCTACTGTCCTAGCCCGGCATCCGAAATAAATTCCGGTGCTGGAATAATGGCTGGTAGGGCCTGGAGTCTAGCGATCGTTTTCGTGTGGCTGGGCCGCCGTTGAACACGAAAAACTCGAATAGTCGACCACTCAATCCCACAGTCTTTCTCCAATTCTCAAATTCGCTCACCCGATTCCTGTCCCCACCCCTCTCGCAAAAATGCCCGTCCTATCACGTGCTTAGCGCGGAGGTTTCTATAGGCTAGTCTTCCACGGAGCTTCGTGATTTATTGTCACGTAGGAATTTCTGGTGGGCTACTCTCGCCTCTTAATGTGACAGTTCTGGTAGTCAGTCACCTACAGTCACACACGAAGATGGAAGGGTGCTTTTCGGGGGCGGACGCTCGCTGGGGAATAATGGGTTAGCGGCGCACACACAGCTGCGCGTGTCGAATTGTATCAACGGCGCTCTTCGCCTCGAAATATGTTGATAGAGCGTGACACAAGGGTCGCGCTTGCGATAGGTCTTTCAAACTCATTGCCATATCTTTTCGTATTACAATATTTCCTTTATAACACTTCTACATATAAGTGATATACTATCCTAAATCGTCACGTTCAGCACATTCAAAACAAAACAAAACAAACGAACTTCATTCTATGCGCAAGTTCAAATAGTACAAGATCGCAAACTATTTGATCTTTAGAGAAAGTACGCTGTTTTGAAGTAGTTTGCACGGTTTGATCCTTAAAACCGATAAATATCTTAATATGCATGTATAAAAAATAATGGATCGAGCTTGGTCGAGTTCGAATTCGGTCGAGTTCTTATACCGGTCATATGACCGCCGCTCTATACATCCCTCCCCTAAGTGAGCGCACAATGGAACACAAGAACTATAGAATTTTTTTTAAAATCTGCGTTACTGTTACAGAATTTGCATGGCATTTATCTTGTTTAAAGGCTTGGTTACACATTATGGCATTAAGTCTGTTCGGGAATGCAGTTTTGAGGGAATGCCTAATTAAAACCAGCCGAGACTGATCTCTCTTAGCATAATTATACTAAAATAATTGTCTCACTGAGCTAAATAAAGTTGGTTAGAGGGGAAGCACCATACAATTTTATACTTTGAATGATAGAGTCGAAAAGTCTATTCTTGGTAGACATGGATATTTTCCCTAGTGCAGCGAGTTTAACTTTCTAATAGCTTGCCGTCTTAATGTAATTTTTGAAGTGATGTCTTTTTTGGAATCTCCTTCTTCGCTAATAAGTCCACCCAAATATTTAAATTGTAATTAATATTTAAATTCTATGGTGCAGAAACATGGGAACTAAGGAAAAGAGAAAGAGAGAAATTAATGAGCCTACAAATGGATTTTTTGAGAAGAAGTTGTGGAGTATCTAGAATGGAACATATTAGAAACGAAGAAATTCTTAAGCGAATGATGGTTCAAAAATCAATAATAGATGAATTGGAAACATGATGGCTGAAATGGTTCGGTCACGTGAAAAGGCTTGATTGTGGGAGATGGCCCTGAAAGGTATGCGAATGGTTTCCTTTACACAGAAGAAAACCCAGAGAGGAATGGCAGAAACAGATTTTAACGATATGAAGAGAAGAGGACTAGAAGAGAATGACTGGAACGATAGAGTGGTTTGGAGATTGGGATGCCAGAAACGGCCACAAGAGCTGTAAAACACTCGCAAGTCGAAGAAGAAGAGGAGGAGGAGAAGAAGAAGAAGAAGAAGAAGAAGAAGAAGAAGAAGAAGAAGAAGAAGAAGAAGAGGGGAAGCACGACTTTATTTAGTAATACCTCACTCTTACCTTATATTGTCTGACGCAATAAAGGGGGGGTTACTTATTAAGCTACGTATTAAGAATGCATCAGAGGTATACTAAACATATCATTCATTTCCGTGAATTTCAAATAACAGAAATTAATATCTAAGACATTGTTTGAGACTAAGAACACCACCAGACACACAGAGTATACCAAGAAGATACGGAGACTACACTGTATACCCAAAAGCAAAGAGAAAAACCTCTTAAGATTTTTACACAATATTCTACCCAATATATAACTACTATTTCATTTCTTAATCTAAAAATTAGATCTGAAGTAGCCAAACTAACTGTATCATCGCATGGAATTAGTAATAAAATGTTCGTACTCTCACCACCTCAGCTAATTTGCAGTTTTATGCAGTTGAAACGCAGCCAAAATTTGTCTAGGAGAGGAGTGTGGATGTGTGTGTCCAGCCGAATAGATATAATTTGTTTTATTTATGCTACATTAAAAGTTTACTTTTTTCTTGACGTATAGTTATTTTTATTCAAAATATAGAACATATTTCGATACTAAAGAAAATTAGCAAAAATTATATTTGTATCTGTGCAATCGGCTTCTAGAAGGGAGGGGTCGCGCCCCATGAGCCCCCTCCCTTTGAGGCGCCACTGTATTCGAGGCGTCACTGTATACTGAGCAAGGTATACTGAGGCGTCACTGTATATATTTGAATTTTGTATCAAGTGTCCAAGAGCCCTTTAGGTATCCTTTATCAGTACTTCGAATTAGCTAATCCCTTCGTTGCCCGTGCCCGCAGGCGGACCCAACCAACGAAGCCACCGTGTTCGCCAGCGGCGTGCACGGCGCGTACAACACCTACCAGGCCAAGGCGCACGTGGGCGAAGACACCTGGTTCGTGGGGCTGCGGCGGCGCACGGGGATGCCCAAGCCGGGTCCGCTCACGCGGCCCGAGCAGAAGGCGGCGCGCTTCTTGCCCGTGCGGCCGGCGTCGGGCGAAGGTGGCAGCGGCGGCGGCGGTGGCGGTGGCGCGCCCTTGTGACACCCCTACCCCTCCGCCCTGCCCTCCCCAGCATCCTATTCCACCCGTTCCTCGCATCCCTCTTCCGTTCCTACTGATGGCGCCGCCGCCCGCCAGCCCTCCCCGTTCCCGACGCCGCCGCCGCCAATGCCCCCACCAACCGACAACGGCGCCCAACGCGATTCAACCGCAACAGAAGCAGCCGCACGCGTCTGGAGCTATCAGACGCGTCAGTCGGTTCGCGCTCCCCGACCCTGCCGACTTGTGCAGCATCAGCCGCAGCATCAGTCGCAACAGCCACCCACCGCGCAGCTTAAAAGCAACAGATCCTAAATCGTAAATAAAATATTTTATTTCTCTGACTACTGTATTTTTTTGTATTCATCCTTAGGCATAACGATATTTTATGAAGAAGAAGATGAATAAAGTAAACCATAAAGCAATGTGTAACATAAGCAATATTTTTTTAATATAAGCGCTGTATATTTTTGTGCGGACAGTTGACACTACGTGGACGGTTGAGAAGGATTGATGCAGTGTAGTTCACAAGAAAACGAGAAAAAAGTTGGAGAGAATCTAATCTTTATTTCAACGGAAAATTGTATAATACAAAACATGTGAACTGAAAAATTGTAACAATGTAAGGCATATTTAATAAAAAATCTGAACGAACAAATGTTGTGGACGCACAGAATGAAACAAATTCAAAACTTAATTGCTTAATTCTCGAACAAAATATATCTATGCTGGTGCTCAATGTATTTCTGCCTTTGTATTCATTTCCAAACTCTTTTTCGCAACCCATTGAATCACAATAACGAATACATATATTAATAGTATTAGTTTGACACTTATTACAAAATTCAGTATAGCACTTTCAGATGTGCCACAAACAAAAAAAAATAACTCGTAAACCATTTAAACACAAAAACAGTATATCCAATCAAACTAGTGCAAAAAATCATTTCCACATCGAAATAATATTATTTCCTTGATTGTGATAACATATTTTATCTACAGAAAAACATTTTAAATCATAAATATCCGAACCGAAACATCCAAACTCATTTACAAACTTAACCGTCAACCTATTTGTAACTGAATTCTATTTCCTAAGGGAACCACGAATTCCTTCTACGTACGAAGTCATTAAGCATGAAATGAAATTAGTGCCCATAACTTTTCGCAGACATTAATACGAAACAACAGGTCTTGCAGAAGACAACAATTCTCAATGGTCCAGCCTTAACCTAATGATACGGCTGGTCAACTTAATAACGACACACAATGCAACCGTACTCTAAACATTTCATCTGACCATTCACATGGTCATTCAGCATGTATTAAAATTATTGCTCGCCAGTCTATACAGCCCTGAATACGACAAGCGGATCTTACTGGCAACCTGATCATAAACAGCTTTCAGCAGTCCAGTCAAAATCCCATTCGCCTGTACAAACATGATCATGAACACCGGAAAACTTTGGATACCAATTCAAGTCAGAACAGTCCTATCAGCAAGCGCTCGCATTAACGCACCAATCGCCGATTCGTCTCCCTCGAGCCACGCCCGCCCGCTCCTTGGCCAGGGCAGGCGAAGGGGGCGGCGGGTGAGCGCGGTCGCCGCGGCCGCGGGGGCAGCGCTAGTGGTGGTGATTGTCGCCGCCTCGGCGCTGGCGCGCGCGCCGCACCATCGACAGGAAGACGAGGCGCAGGTTGGCCGGCTCCACGTCATCCGAGCGCGCGTCCACGGCCACGGCGCGCGCGAAGTCCTCGTAGCACGAGCGCGCCTGCGCCGGCCGCAGCCCCGCCCGCCGGAAACAGAGCGGCGAAAAGCGCGCCGAGGTAGGTACCGCGCCCGACTGCGTCTGCAAGAGATTCTCGTCCGCCTGGGAAGCTCCGTGTGCTTCTGCTAGCATGGGTCACTCCCTTTCATTTCTCTTCCAACCCCAGGAGAAATGTAAAATATGTTGTGCCAGATTTCTTCTATCAAACAACCAACATTTCAATTATCTTTACATCCCTTACTACTATTTCATTACTATTTCATGTTTATTTCTGCCTTAAGTGTATAAGACATACATATTGCCAATTGGCAGGAGTATATTTGAACAGTGAATTCTTCCATTATTTTCGTTTTGTGTAATGGTTTATTAAATCACTCTATTGTTGTATATATTAGCAATAAAGTGAAACAATCAGTTAACGAAACTGTTCGTTAACAATTGTCACTTACAGGCGAAGACCACTTAACAGGCAATAATCTTCTATATTATTTTAAGTCTCCTAATTTGAACCCAGTAAGTTAATGCAATTATTGCACTCGATTACAATCAAAATACTTCGGGTTCAAAATGTTTGATTTTACTCTCAATTTGAAATCTGACTGATGTATTATTACATTTAATAGATAATTTATTTGCTAATGGACGAAATGAAAATTAACATAGCTTCCTTTGGGGCAATAACTGTCAACTGACTTCTTCGAAAGGCTGTCATCTACAGGTATCTTCGTGTCATATTGCCACAACGGAGCTATTTGTACAACCTTTACTTCCAAATCTCGCGCCAGTTGCTCTGGACATGATACCTGCAAAGTCTAGTAAGAACGCGACCTTGGCAGGCCTCACGTAGATGGATGGACAGAGGAAGGTTGGGATAGAGCGACCTTTAGTCTATTGGTCAGACTGCTCACCTCCCTCTGCTGGGACGGGACTTCAATTCCCGGTCGATGCCCGCGCCGCCGTTCGTCGAAAACGCAGCGGCAAAATGTACCACGGTAGATAGTACTACCTAATAGTACATAGTCCAATATTACGAGAAAAGCTACAGAAAATGTATGTTTTCATGTTAATCATATTAAATTTTGATATTCGTGAAGGACACGGGTTCGAAAGCAAATGAAACGCGCATAGACTCGGTATCCAAGTGAACTTTGATCTGACATTTACGTGTGTTTCGCTAGCTGTTCATCAACGCTATGGACTGTACTTAGCACAAGCCTAAAAGTAGAGACAATCATTTAAGAATTAAACACAATCAAAAAAAGTGAGAAATGGTGTTTTAAAATTACATCATCAAATCAATCTTTGTAATCATGTCTTTTATTGTCTATGACCTCACTAAACTCTTCTTTTGTTTTGACCCGTCATACCTTGGTATAACACATTCCTTATAAACTCGTTTCTAGTCCATTCATGATAACTAGACTTCGGATGTTTAGAAAAATGCCTATTTTAGTCTAAATAAAATATTTAAATGTTATTAATATATGAATTGTAGTAAACTAAATATACTGACTTAAGAGTCACTGCAAAGACATCAGTTGATGTCCTTAGTCGGATAGTTGTAAGACCTCGCACCTCAACTTGTTCAGCTGGGACAAGGATTAAATCCCATTTGGTATTTGTGGTTGACCAAGCAGGTTCGCAGTAGGTTTTCATGAGATTCCCCCTTTTTTCTGCCATTCTTTTCACCGCTGCTTCTTTTAGTTTACGCAACCGAATGCAGGTGACTGTATCCAATCATGTTTAAGAGATTTAGTTACAATTGAAATGAATGAATTTGCGAAACATTGTGATACGCACATATCATCTATATCTTTCGTGTCGTCATACGATCAAAGGAGAAATATGAAAATCCAAGTTTTCGTGCATTTCTAATGCTGAACGTATACTTGAATTTCTCTCTTAGGACAGAACAACGTTGAAAGCAGAACTTGGTTAGCAATAAAAAAAGTCAAAGGGTTTAGCTTTTACAGGAGCTTTTATTTTAACTCCCTACTTTCAGGCAGAGGTAGGGCTAATCGACCGCCGGAGGTCGATTGTTAGTGCATAGGTATAATCAGTTGCCAGCAACAGCAATTTGAGAGTCCATTTAAAAGTGAACACAGTAAAAATCATGCAGAGTAATAGACCAAGATAAAAAAGGAAACAGATTTATATTTTGTACATGTGACAAGAAAATTATTTTGCAAACTAATTAATAATAATACATTTCCAAAGTTTCCAATTGTTTAAATATGCTTCACTAATAGATTAATAAACACAAAATTCTCTACTTATCGCGAAATATATATATATATATATATATATATATGTATATGTATATATATGTATATGTATATGTATATGTATATGTATATATATGTACATGTATATATATATATGTATATGTATATGTATATATATGTATATGTATATATATATATATATATATATATATATATATCCCTCGACTAAAAATATCTTTGCTTTCTCTGCGACTCCGCAACAAAATCGCAGCTGAAATATCTATACGTAAAGGAATGTAAACTGGAAGCATTTCTTTTCGGTGCATTTGTTTCAGTTAACTGAAGTGAAAAGTATTTTATGCAGCTATTACATACAACATTCACAGTAAATAATGCCTTCTTATTTTTGGTCTTTCTGAAAGGAGGTACTTCAAATCTTCCTGTACACCACCCTTTTATTAAAATACTATCCAACTAAAAGGTGCAATTCCATTTTGAAGAACGCACTTTATTAATGTTAATTCTCTTAAAAATTCAGAACAATCATATTTCCTTATGGATAAAAACTGTTTTGGGATTTGGAAAAATATCACGTTAGGTGTTAAACAAGTGCTGATGGTCTCAAACACAAATGACGGTGTTACTCAAGACAGTAATGTATGTAATCGTTATAAAAATTATATACTATATATCACTTATTATAACTAGAGATTTGGGAAAATTCGAACATGGTAATACCCTGACATTCGTAAATTCAATTAATTTAGGGTTCTTTGATCTGTTTGAACAAATTAAATAAAGAAAAATGTTTGATTTTGTAGACATTTTCAAAAAGAAAGTGTTCTTAACTTCACTCCAAAATTGCTTTCAAAATCGCAAGATTTCATGTCGAGGTCGATAGCAGAGTATCCAAAAGTCTATTGGGGGGATCTCTACATGGGATAGAGTAATTAGGAACTAGCGTTGTCTATAGAAATATAGAAACGTTTGTGAAAATAAAAAATATCACTTCCCCCAAACGTGTATTTCCGTAAAAATATCAAGAACGATTTTTTTTAACACCTACGTGACTTATGTGTTTAGAATAAGAAAGTAAAAGGCTTTGAGAAGATAAAATGGAGTCTTTTAAAAACCGATATGAATTAATCACAATGAGGCAAAACAGAGATGCATGTAAATACGTTTTTAGTTGTAAAGTATCGGCAACGCTTTTCTTTTCTGCAGAGCACATTGCTATTATCCAGAAACTCGCACATTAAATTAAGCTAGTCACTTCATCCTTCCAAATGCTCGTGAAAATTAGTTTAATTTTCTCTACATATCTGGCGACATGACAGGGGACCAGCTCTAACGCCACTCGCCGTATTGCGAGTTTCTTAGCGATAGAAGCGAGTAAGTGTTCATTAGTAAATATACTAGTGGTCTGCTGCAGCAAAAATGGTGCTTAACCAAGAGATACAAGATGGTTTCCCAAAATGTATCACGCATTCTGCTCCTTTCATTAAACAACAACAAATAAAATACTCTCCTACAACCTATACTTCTCTCTACCTATACTATACTACAACCAATACTACTAACACTCTCGAACTTATCTAGTTGAATGTGGCATCGCCGACGCTGTAAACTGTTTAAAAACTTTTTTCATGCGATGAAAATGTCTGAATGTGTAACTTCAAATAAGTTCTTGCAGTATCTGGCATTGGACATACCAATGAATCGTAGTGACTTATAATGTTATACTCCCATTAAAAACTTCCTAAAACCCAATGACCTTGCATATTACCACTCTGCGTGATATGAACCAGTAATATTACAATTTCAAAATTGTAGTCGCCGTTAAAAATACTTACAGGTATGGATGATACGAATAGTTGATATTTAGTACAGCTACATTTTGTGCCCTTTTTGCTAATATGCACAAAATGCACGTAAAAGATCAACTGTCTGTTCTTCAGCGCTATTCTCTAATCCTAATATAAGATCACTTAGTTCCAAAAAATTCTATCACAGATTTTTCTACAGTTACATTTCATTCCACCTCTGTAATTGTACGATTAAGAACGTAATTGTGCAAAGTCGAATACGTTACTCGCAGTTCTGGTTTTCCTGGTATTCATTTGGATTTCTTAAAAAAATAAGTTATAAGGTAATGATGTATGTAGGTGTTTGCAAATTTATTATTACAAAAACGGTAATACGGACGAAACACTTAATTTCTTATGAGCCAAGAAGCATCACTTTTTATTCTTCTGCCATAATATGTTCTGTTTCACATGTTCCAAAACGCGCAAGTATTGCCATCCTCGTAAAAGAAAGTATGGCGTTGTGCACCGAAAATTACTGTAGTTTAATCGACGCCACCTACATAGATCTATTTAGGTGGAGTTGGTTTAACTCTCCGTCTACCATCTAATATTGCAGCACTAAAACGTATTTTTGGAAATTTCTTAGAATCTTCTGGCCGTATCCGAAAAATATATCAGTTTCGTACCAGGAGATCCAGACGCGTCGAATGACACCTCATATGTCTCGAATGGTGCGTGGGCAGACGTCCAACCGTGAGTGACGGATTCTCATATACACACAGGCACAAACGCGCACTGGCAGTTTCTCAAATACTGTACACGGATATCTTTCTAATCCCTATATAAATAAATGCAATGTGCGTATGTCTGTCGCACTTAGACGAAAAATATTCTCAAACGATTTCGCTGAAATTTTCACAGATTGTTCTTATTAGTATCGGTAGTGTTTAAAGATTGGTTTGAATTAAAT